TAAGGTAGTTCATTAAAACGTATTGACAAATCTAGTATAAGGTTGTAAATTTAAATATATTGACAAATTTTTAGTATAAATTTAGTATGTGAAATTGTTTTATTAACTTATTGCCCTCACATTTCGGATCAAGTCTGCAAACTTTTTGGGGTAGACTGTTTATCTTATTTGTTAAGACATTAAAAATCTTGCCAAAAAACTGGCTGCTAACTCAACTTATACATATACGAAAAAACATTTCATAAACACAATAAAATTTAAACTCCTGTTATATCTAACTTTATTGATGAAGTCTGCAAGCTCACCATATTACAGTTGCACTTCTAGGTATTATAAGAGCATGGTACAGGTCACCTTTTTCTTTATTAAAAGTCTTGCAATTCTTTAAGACAACAACTCCTCAATGTTCTCTATGTTATTATCTAAAACTTCCGCTGGATTAACCTCAGAGGTATGATTGTTATGATACGACACATAAATTCTTAATTTTGGTAATAAGAAACCAAGTAAATAAGAGAGTTTTATATGTGTCTTATTGACATTGACTGGTGTAACGGTAATGAGGTGTTTTTCATTTAAATTTTTTATAGGATGATATAGATAGCTCCTATCTTCATGCATTTTGAGAACTGTCTTTAAGTTTTCAGTAGTATCAAAAGTAAAATAAAGCGAAAAAGGTATATTTATTTTTAAGTAATCAAAAGATAAATCATGAAAAACAAACTCAAACGGATTTATATCTACCAGACTATGCACGTCGGCAACATCATTGGCGCACTTTATAATATCTTTTTAAACATATCTGTTTTTTTACCCGAACATGTCGACACTTAAGTCTTCATGGAAAATGTTTCCATTCGAAAAATAGTTCGAAGGGCGAAATTTAATTATTTGTTTGGAGATTTATTTTATTACTTAATTATATTAAGTAATAAAAAGGTAAGAAAAAATAGATGTTTTATTTATTAACTGTCTGACACTTTTCATTACATACTTAAACACCACTACCCAGTGGCATAAAAGACTTCGAAAAGACGTCTTTAAAATTCTTATTTACGATGTCTTTAAGACGCCTTTTTTTAATCAAATATGCAAATCTAAAAGACATCTTTTTCCGACATCGAAAAGGCGCCTTTTTTGTCATTATCTTGTCATTAAAAGACATGTCTCTTTAAGACTTCTTTGTTTATTAATTATGCACTTCTGAAAAAGTGTTTTTTCTCGGGGTCAGAACGACTTTTTAGTATACTATAGTATCCTGCACATTATAGTATTCATACTTTTCATATATATAAAACTGATTTTATCAATTGAAAATGATAATATATCCTCATAAAAAGTATGACAAAAAGCTCTTTCCGATGCCGCGCAAAAAAAGTCTTTTTTAATGTCAATATGAAAGAGGAAGCATTTCCTACATCTTTTATATGTTTAAACATAGGAGAATAATTTATAAGTAAAACAACAGTATTGTTTAACAGAATATTTTTTTTCTTTCTTTTCTGTTTCTTGAGCGAGCTCTCCCAGCCAATATTGACATACGGGTACTGTATGGGGCCCATACGGGTCGCCAACTGCGTCCTGTATGGGAGAACAGTATCCCGCTGGTTCATGACCGCGATTTCCATATAGGACCCATATGGGTTAGCCCGCCGGGTCGCCCGTATGGGTCCCAGTCAAATCCCGTACTTTAAAACCGTAAGAAAACTTATTTGGGTTTGCAAATGGGACCCATATAGGAAACCCATCGGGATCCCGCCGGATTTTGGTCGCGGTTTTCTTCTTGGGCCCATATTGGTATGCCCGCCGGGTATCCCGTGAGCGTCCCACTAGGTTTACCCATTACCCATTGCAAATTTTGCAAAACTACGTTTCAATGTTCAAAATTTACAGAAAAAGCAAATATATATATAAATTGATTGCTTTATTTCAAAACAAAAGTAATTAAAATTAAACTGTCGAAACTAAGCAAACTTTTGAACAATTCTTTAATCATGTATCAAATGCTTTCACTGTTATCTTGGGAATTGGAAGCCTTTCCATTGTTGCTGAAACGACTTCTTTGAAAACCTCTTTACACAATATCTCGATTTAATATGAACTGTAAAAAAATTAAATTTAACTGTTAGTTTAAACTTTATAGGTAACACATACATTATTTTTAATAGGTTATAAAACTCTTACGATTTCTCCCAACACTCTTCAGATGAAAAATGTAATTTTCACCATCGAAGGTAGAAAAACATAACCTTTAATTTTATAATCAACGTTTATTTCAACGTTTTAAAATGTACTTGTAATAGATAAGCACATGCTTATGATTCATATAATAAATTGATAGCATTCCTTTAGTTACTGATAATTAAATTATATAAAATTTTTAAATAAATGTAATTTTTTATGTTGTATTTAATTTGATATATATTTTATATACCATATATACAGTGCCGTGGCTACTAGATACAAGCCCCCCTCCCATTCAAATAAAAAACCTGTCATAAGGACCCCAAAATTCTTGAAAACTTTTCCAATATATAAAAAAACATCTAAATAAAAATACTTAATTAAAAAAAATGTCTTTACACTTGTAAAAGAGCCCCTAAATTTGCAAATGAGCCCCCTAGACAGCTCTGCCTATATATATACGCCTATCATTGCTTTATATTTGACGAAAGTTTGACGATCGTAACTAAATAAATAAACTCTCAGGATTTTTTTGAATGAAAGTGTGTCACAAAAAAACCTTAATCCTTAAAATTTTTTTTCAGAAATCTTTTTAAACAATTACATAAAAAACATATTAAATATCAATTCAATTTCACTTTTTTTATTCCAGATTGATGGGAAGAACAAGGAGAAGATTGTACCAGGGCTATTCTTGGAAAAAAATTAAGGGGGGCAGGGTTAGGGGGGTGGCGAAGACTGGAACACATAATAGTACCTAGTCCAGTCTTTGCCAGGTAAATTTTTTTTCTTTAAAGTGGCGTATATGGGCTTAATGGTAAAATATGGACTTTGACCCATATGCCAGTCTTCGTTAGGTTGAATTTCGTTTAAAAACAAAAAAGTTATAGGCGTTTTAAATTTGTCCAGTGTTCGCCACCCCCCTTTTGCCAGTGTTCGCCATCGGAACAAATTATTATTTTTTATTTTTTATTAAATGTATAAATATAGCTAAGTATTTATTTTTTATTTCAGAAGTAGGTTATCTGTTAACCTAGTTATTAAACAATACTAAAGCAGTCCAAATAGGGCTATATAACTATATTAAATTAATTTATATATCAAGTTAAGACTTATAATAAATAGTTTCAATAAGTACCTAGGTACATAATATCCATTTAGAATTATGAATACTAGTAAATCAAAGTCCAATAAGGGTTCACGTATGTCTACAAGAGATTCTTACACTGAGGAGGACATTAGAAAGGCAATTGAAGAAGTAAAAAGGTAATAAAATTAGCATGCATTAATAGACATAATTTCAATGCTTAAATTGCTTATTGTGTAGTCATAATAGCCTAATGCCTATAATACATTTAAAAGAAATACATAGGGTAGGGCTGCCTAGTACTGATAAAGTAGTTGCATACCTAAATTATACTGTGCTATATTTCAGTGGTGAAAGAACTGCTTCAGAGCCATCCAAGTTGTACAATATCCCGCGCACCACATTGAGGGACAAAATAAGTGGTAAAGCGCCTGTTGTAAAAAAGATGGGCCCACAAACCTACCTCACTGAAGCAGAAGAAAATGTTTTGGTGAATTTTATTGTTAGCGCACAAAAACGTGCCCACCCTGTTACCAAAGAAACCATTATGTCATTGGTAACTAGTCTTCTTTCGGATGAAAGGTTACTTATGGAAGTAATTAGAAACCGTCCCTTTCAATTTGGAAGATCAGGGACTCGACAGCCAGAAAATAAATGGTAAGTAGGTTGTGCCTAAGTTATAAAAGTTGACCTATAGGTAATTAAAATAAAAAAAAAATGTTATAATTTTAATAACGAGTCATAAGATTTTTCATTACAAATTAACTTTATAAAACATTTGTAGCTTAATAAATAAAGCTTATAACAATTGATACAGACATAAAATTAGTCTAATAGAAATAGCCTATACTTAGTCGACTAATTTAGCCATTATTTTCTAAGGTATAAGATATTCCTGTCGAGGCATCCTAACATAGTTGCTCGCATGACTGAATCATTAAGTGCGAATAGAAGAAATGTCTCACAAGCTGTCATACAACAATAATTTGCTGATATAAGATCGTACCTCTCTGAACATGACCTTCTTGAAATCCTTCAGGAACCCCAGCGTAACTATAACATCGACGAGTCGGGGTTCCAGTTTTCACCCAAGGTTTCCAAAGTTTTTGCTGATAAGGGTTCTAAAAATGTACCGTATGCGACATCTTCAAACGAAAAGGAAAGAATCACTGTTCTAGGTACATTTTCATTTTATTCTTTGCTCATTTTTATGTTATTTCTGTAATGCTTTTCTTTTAATGCTGCACTATAAATTGCTTTTTTTTCAACATATCTTTGAGCATGATAGCTTAGGATGATACTAGCTTGGCCTGCTTGCTAACTTTTGGTTTTTTTGCACTTTTCTTTGCAGCTATCGTTGGTGCCGATGGCTCTCTCCCTCCACCGCTTATAATTTATCCTAACCTTCGTATTCCTATGAATGTATACGAAGCCAATCCATCCAGTTTATTTGCAATCGGAAAAAGTGAATCGGGATATATTAACCATCAGGTGCTTTATCTCACTAATGCATTTGACCAATGGTTAACTCAACATAATATACAAAGACCAGTTATAGTTTGGTCCGACAAGCATGAATCGAGGCTGCAATTTGATTTAGTTAAAACCTTAGCAGACCTGCAAATAATGCTTGGGTACAGTTTGGTGATCCCACCAAACTGTACCCATTTCATGCAGCCTTTGGACGTAGGATTGTTTGGCCCTATGAAAAATGAATGGGCTTAGTGTGTGAATAGGTTCAGGGCTGCCAACCCAAATGAATACGTTACCAAAGAGTCCTTTGCAGGAATGTTCCTGCCAGTGTACACAAGGGTCATGAGTAGAGAGAAAATAGTAAAATCCTTTAAAAAATGTGGCATACAGCCATTTAATCAAGACGCTCCTGATTATACCAAGCTCACTCTTGAAGAAGCCCACTCCGGAGACAGTCGAATATTTGAAAGAGTGCTTCAAGACGGTCGTGTTGAAGCTTCCACTCAAGTTGAAAATTTTTTTCATGTCAATGTTGCGACACAGACATCCTCTGACATCATCTTGTCTGGTAACATAAGTACTAGCACGATGGAAGGACTGGGAGCAGGCCCAAACATTCACCTGTAAGTGATAGTTAGGTATTAGTGTCTAACATTTGTATCAATATAAAATAATAAGCCCAGCTAGCTAGTTAGTAGCTATTATAAACCAATTTTTGTTTATAGCTATTACAGGGTAATAAAAGTTAGTAACAATTATAAACTAATTTTTATCTATATTACAGGGTAATAAAAGTTAGTAACTATTATAAAACAATTCTTATTTATATTACAGGATAACAAAATCATTTGATGACTTTGTCATCGATTCGCCACGATTTGATTCACTCAGAATGGTGAAGAGGCAAAATTGGTTCCAATATGTTTTTGATCGAAATCATCGGCAAGAGGATGCACCAGCTGTTGATTCCCTTGTTGTTTCCCCTGTTCATTCACCTAGTATTCATTCTAGTTCAGATGCACAGTGTTCCTCAATGTCAGTTCCTCCAAACAGGACTAGGCCTATGTTGGTAGAACCTCAAAGACAAGCAAGACCACCTGCGATTAGTCCTGCTCTTAAAAATCATAAGTGGTTCCCTTCTCCAAAAAAAGCTATCGGTTAGTGTATTAACTAGGCTACCTATATTTTAAATTTATTATTATAATTTCCATTTTTAATCTCAGTAAAATTACCACATGTAGCCTATGGTCATAAATTTACTTTATTATAACCTGATTATTATTTTAATTTTTATTGGAAAGGTTCGTACAGTGGCTCAAGAACTTCATGCCACATCTGTAGTGACTTCAGATAAAGTTGTCTCGATACTAGAAGGTATTAGGCTTGAAAAAAAAAAACAAGAACAAGCAAAAGAGGAGAGAAAAACAAAGCGCTTAGTTGCTGAATTAGCTAAACGCAACAAACCAAGTGTTCCAGCTAAAAGAAAGTTGCTGCCAGCAACAAAAATGGCAAAGAAGAAACCAAAAAAATTTTCCATTACATAAAAAAATTATTCAACAATTATTTAAATATATTTTTAATACCAAATAACTAAAAAAAAGAACTCATTTTTTAAAAAGTCTGAGGGTGGCGAACACTGGAACAGGTTCAAAAAATTGCCTGGCGATCACGGGGACCGTTCCAGTGTCCGCCACTTTCAACTTTCGGGGGCTATAGCCCCCTTATTAATTATCGGAGGTCATTCGTTCCAAGTACAGCGTATAGCCCAACTATCCATCTGTACGATAAATATTTAAGATCAATCATTTATTGAAAAACGAGTGAGAAAAAAATATTTTAGTGAGGCAGGGTAGAAAAAAGAGGCGAATACTGGGTGTTTTACCCTATATATATATATATATATATATATACCCAAATATATATATATATATACCCAAATATATATATATATACATATATATATATATATATATATATATATATATATATATATATATATATATATATATATATATATATATATATATATATATATATATATATGTATGTATATATATATATATATATATATATATATGTATGTATATATATATATATATATATATATATATATATATATATATATATATATATATATATATATATATACCCAAATATATATACATATATATATATATATATATATATATATATATATATATATATATATATATATATAATTATCTTAAGGGGACCAACTATCTTTTGTTCAAAAAGAGTACACTTTGCAAGTATTTTTTAAATAAAAAAAAAAGAAAAATAAAACGATAAAAAACTTTTCTTTTTTTTTTTTTAAATATTTTTCTTCAGAGTGGATTTTCTTTGCTAGATGAGGATGATCGTCTAATAATGTAGCTGCATCCGAACGTATTGAATTTCATATTAAATTTGACTGTTAAGACGGCATATAATGTTTTTACAGAAAGTTGCAACTTCTCACTGCTCCAATAATCATTCCTTAGTGAAAATACCTTTTCAACAGCAGCATTAGCGCCTGGACAACATAAAAAAAATTATGTTAAAACTTTTAAATTTTTATGTTGGATATGTTCTACTCTAAAATGCCGAAAGATTTTTACCCATCTTTTTTCAAGTTCTATTTTCTCATTGTTCCATTTCTTCAATTTTTCTTCATTTAAAAATAAATTTACTCTTCCAATTTCTTCAAAAAGAAAATTGTCTTTAATAACAATATCTTTTACTTCCTTTTTTACAAATTCGACTGCTGAAGAAACTTTTTTTCATTAAATTTTACTATTTATAAGGGTCCATTTAAAACAATTCAATGCTCTAAAGTTCTGATGTATCTGGAACAATCCAAATGATGTATCTAGAACAATCCATCAGATAAAGTATTGACTGTAATCTGAGGCAATTTACAACATTTGGGCAATTTAACCATAAGTTGACAAATCGTCGCATTACCCCTAAGCATACTAGATGCATAAAGTCTAAAGGAAACTTTGTCACCATTTCAAAATTTAATTCAATTTAACACAACACTAAGATGTTCAGAATGCTTTTGATGACAAAAAATCTAAATTAGTACTTAAAATTAGTGAAATATGTAGAAGAATTATCTTGCCACACCACTCTCCTTTTTAAACAAAACACTCATCAGTTATAACCATTGTGTCCTTTAATACACTTTACAAATGCTCTAGCTAATGCATAACAGCAAGATTGATTTTAAACTCAATATTTTCATAGACAAAACTATCTTTTGCAAGAACTTTGAAATCTACCACAAAATTATGTAGATAATTAAGGTGACCAACTATTCTCATTTACTGAGTTTTGTACTCTTTTTTCACAAACCGTACTCTTTTCAAATCCTGTACTCTGAAAGTACTCATTTGTATAATTTTGTACTCGTTTGTAATTCTAAAACATTTTTAAGATTATTTCATTTAAATTTTATTAATTAAATATTAAAAACTTTTTTGACAGTGATTTGAATTTCATGCGCGCATTTTGCTTGCCGTTTCCGGCACGTCAGAGGACAGGGCAAATACCAGATACAAATTTGACAGTGATTTAAATTTTGCACGCACATATGGCTGCCTTTTTCAGCACAATTGAGAGGTCGAATTATGTACAGACCTCTTTTTCTAACAACGTCAAAATTACATTTGTTAAAAGAGATAGATATATCTATCTCTCCGATATTTGTGTATGTAATTTCCAGGCTGATCTTTGATGTGCAGTATGTACGGCATGCTTGACTGTCTTGACCCATGCGTAGTATGTACAGCAAAGTTTTTTTATTTATTTAATTAAATAATAGGATAAAAAAACCTTTGCTGTAGATACTACGCATGCGCACAAGGTTGATTAACCATAAAATCAAAAATTACAAACTTAGTTATAATTTATGTTCGATATCACTCATATTAAAAACTAGTCAATGGAACGACATCTTAATGAAATAAAAAAATATTGAAACAAAGAAATAATAAAAAAAGTAAACTACATTAATACAAGTAATAAAAAAAGAAGTATAAGGAACAATAATATTTAAAAAGTTGGAATTAGCACAAAAATATAAAGGAGCAATGCTAAGAAAAATGAAAAAAAAAGAGAGAATGAACGGATGAGATAAGATGTGTGAGAAAATATGTAAGAGAAAACAAAAACTTAATCACATAAGTTCAGAAGGATAGAGTGACAAAACAATTTTTGCAGAAAAATATAAAAAAACAAATTAAAGGCAAATAAAAATAAATAAATAAAATTAAATAAAAAAGTATATACTTACACTACTACATACAATATTAAAGGCTATATTAAAGCCAATAATCTGACCGCTATGGAAGATTCCAACGCCGGAATGAAAAATGAATTTTCAAAAGAAGTTAAAAAATTTTATAAAATTTGCTATGAATATATCAAAGAATGGATAATCAACTTTAGAGCATTGAATTATTACAAATGGACACTTCTAAATAGTAAAATTGAATGGAAAGAAGTTTCTTCAGCAGTCGAATTTGTAATGAAGGAAATAAAAGATATTGTTATTAATGACAATTTTCTCTTTGAAGAAATTCGAAGAGTAAATTTATATTTAAATAAAAAAAAATTAAAGAAATGGAACAAAGAGAAAATAGAACTTGACAAAAGATGGGTAGAAATCTTTTGGCATTTTAGAGTAGAGCATATCCCACATGAAAATTTAAAAGTTTTAATAGAAATTTCTTAATGTTGTCCAGGCACTAATGTTGCTGTTAAAAGGGTATTTTCACTAAGGAATGATTATTGGAGCAGTGAGGAGTTGCAAATTTCTGTAAAAACATTATCTGCCGTCTTAACAGTCAAATTTAATAAGAAATTTAATAAGTTCGGATGCGGCTGCATTATTAAACAAACATCCTCATTTTGCAAAAAAAATTCACTCTGAAGAAAAATATATATTTAAAAGAAAATAAAGTTTTTTATTGTTTTTTCTTCTTTTTTTTTTTCACCTATAAAATACATGCAAAGTGTACTCTTTTTGAACAAAAGAGTACAAAAATCTAGGGTATAGCCGTTGTGGTAAGGCTACACCTTAAAATAATCAATGAAATAAAAAACAATGTGATACTCCTACATATTTTTAAAATAAAAATAATATAAATAATTAGGTTAAGTTTATTTTTATTTGCTGTGTAAATTCGGCTTTAAAAGCGATTACTTAAAACCAAAAAAAAACGGAACTAAAAAAAAGATCGGTTATTGCATATCGGTTTGTGGCTAAGCCACAAACGACCTGATTTTTATAAAATTTAACTAAAATTTTTATAACATTTAACTAAAACATTATTATTTTATTAAACAGTTTAATACTATAAATAATAGTTTTGCCACAGAGCTGTATAAACAATTTTTATTGTTTTTTGCTATAAATGTAAATAATTAAAATATTACATTTTTATTCCTTCAAAAAAATTTTAATCTTTAAATTGAAGCTTTAATTAATGAGGATCTTATAATTTGAATCTATTAATAATTAGAATCAAATATAATACAATATTAGAGACTATAAAATAAATGAGTCGTCAAGAAAGAGTTGAAGGAAATATTTTCGAACTGCTTAATTTTGGAATTTATTCAGGACACTAAAAATAAAAATAAATAAATAAAAATATTACATTTTTCTTAAACCATACAAAATCAACTTATGGAGTGTTATAGTGAGGCTTTTGAGAAGATTCTTATTTCTGAAATCAATAATAGTAAATACTATTCAATTTTAGCTGATAAAGCATCTTATTGTGCCAATCTTAAATAGTAGTCTATCGTTATAAGAAATGTAGGCAATAACTATAATACTCGTTTAGATTTCTTAAAGTGTGTTAACTGTCTCTAATTATTTAAATGTGATGTTATTCAAAAATTTTAGGCATGTTTACATAATTATCTTTCTGTTGGTAAACCAAAGCTAATCTATGTCTGTTTTGCTTGTTGGGTTTAAAAAAAAGAAAAATCTAGACCTTTTTTTTAGCTAAAACCTCTGCATATTTGATCGTATATCGCGCACAATACGAATCGTATATCGCGCACAATACGAATTATAAATGGCAACCATCAAGTTATGATTTTTTAAAATATCAGTTTGTACTTTTTGGGAACCTTACAACAAAATATTCAAATCCCCACATTCTTCGGCCCTGATAAAACCAGATAAAACCCACACGAGCAAATATGCTTGATTTTATTACCATATGGGACCCGTCTGGAAACCAAAACACTTACCCGTCAAAATCCCGTTCCCGTAAGCCAAGACAAAAACCATAAGGTACCCGTCTGTTAATGTTGGCTGGGATAGCAGTATATATACAGTTTATTCCCGATAACTCGAACCTCCAAGGGATCAAGTAAAATGGTTCGACTTAACGAATGTTCGACTTAAGCGAAGTCCTGTCAAGTCAAACTTTGACACAAATAAGATATTAGTTTGAGTAAAGCGATTTTTACTTATTCAATGCTAGAGTATAAGCATTAAATATACAATAACCACAACAACAACAACAAGATATTTATTTTCCTTTTTCAAAATTTACATATAATCATATAATAACAATAATAATATTACCTATAATGATAGAAACAATATAATCATAATAAATTATAACTAATAAGGATAAATATAAATAGTTATTTGAAAAGGAAGGTGTCACTAAAACAGAAGCCTGATCAAAGGAGTGACTCCAAATAGTTATAACAATAATAATTAAAAATAATAA